AGGTGATAACTAATGATTAATGGTACAAAGGTAGGTGGCACAAAGGTCTTCACAACGTTCACCAGAAATACACCTGTTTTATTCTCGATCATTATAAGGTTGGAAACATTCAGTGCAGTTTTAATGAATCCTGAGAACTGGTAAAAATGTATCAGATGTGTCAATCATTATGTAATAGGAACGTTGTAAATTGCTTCTCAAAACCAACCAAATAAACTCATTTTCACACACCAAATTCATTCTATTGTAGGTCAGTCTCTTAAAAGACTGAAAACATTAGGAAAGGGATTTTTAAGATGACAAGGGTTCAGTATTCTTCAGGGAATGTATTTTCCTATATGTAAAAACTACATATAACCTGTGACATTGAAGGAGTAAATTATGAAACACCTGTCAATTGTAATGATGGGTTACAGATCACATAATAAGTAGTATGCTTTCACTCAGTAATGATGGAGCAACAGAGACGACCCAAAAAACATCAAACCAAACGGTAGATCTGGTGTTAGACTGAATCACCAAAATCCTGAACTCTGACCTAAAAAAAACAAAAGTATCAATAAAATTGACCTTTTGACCTGTTGCTTTATTTTGCAAGTGTAGATAGTGTATCTACAATTTACAACGATCAATAGAACCTTGATGCCGTCCTGAAAGCCTCAATCTGGACTGGACGCGGGCCAAACCAACTTCAGACGGGAACAACGTAAGAATGTAGGATGTTTGTCCAATTTCTTTGTGATTTACTCAGAACTAAACATGATTGATTTAAATCTATGCTTTCACCCTCTGAAAGTGCCACATGCAATCTGTGCCAGGTAATGTTCCGAAAATACCAGCTTTGATATAAACATGTGCGGTATCGCACACAATTCAACCTTTATTATATGGAATCGAAAAGGTATATATGCCAAAAGTATCACTAAAAATAAACTAAAGCTATATAAATCCCTAATTTGCCATTAAGATATGTTCTCCCAACAATAAATGTTGCCAGTTATTCTAAACTTTACTAATTTGTTAGATATATGGGTGTGTTTATAGCCCTTCAAACCTACCATACCCTCAGCCAATCTAAACTAGCTTCACTTGCAAAAAAATTTTGTGGTTAACAAAGTGACCTCATGATGTCTGACATTTAAAAGAAAAAAAAAGTCTCCAATTTGTCCCAATCTGTCCTTGTGTAGTAACTTCCAAGTCTTGTTGAATCAACAATTGGATAACGAGAAAACAAAAATAAACTTTCAGCATAGGTCACTAGCTTTAATGATTTTTGCCCATGGCTGGTTAGCTATATAGGTACATAACCTAGCTAGTAAAAACAAGTTCCACCTCAGTGCAGACTCCACCCCAAGGCTAGGCCTTTCCTGGGTCACACGACCCACCGGTATTATGTCTCCAGTCCTAACTGCCGCCTACACACTACTAAATAATGCATATACTTTTGCTGATTTTAAATTGAAATCTACTGAAAACAATAAACCAATCTGATTGTAACTCAATCAACTTCTGACCAAAACATGCTTAAGACCTTACTTGTCAATAATTTGATGTCTGTTATAAGGGCCTAGATAGAGATCAACCCAGATTGTCACCCTTGACCCCTGAGATCAGGAGGTCAAACATTTATGTTAGATAGGGACTACTGTTTCCCATGTATATGAATGAAAGGTTTATTATAGCAGTATTTGGCCTTTGTCTGCCTGCTGTCTCTCCAGACCTGACAAGGTATTCATTTGACCTGTGACCCTCAGTGCAGTCCTGTTCAACCACAAAATACAGGTATATGTAGTGAGAGAATACATAAACCTAGGTGATGTCCTCCCTAAACTCACTTCCCAGGTTTGTTCTGACATACATGAACATAAATGTACATATGGTTCTCCTCCAATCCTTGCTCTCCCTCACTCTCGATCCACTGATGATCCTTATATGGGTTGAGCGCCATTGTTTTTTTTCTGTTAATGATTCTGTAGGCGTTTGAAGGAAATGTCAGACTACCAACTCAGGATTGTACACATGAGGCAGAAGCTTCTGGGGACATGACAAATTGTCCTCAGCTCTAATACAATCAAACATTTAACAGAATCTAGTCAAAAGTAATTGACAGTTTTATCCCAAAACTGCATCAGAATTGTGTCAATGTCTGTTAGGGGAAAAGCATTAACTAGACTTCATGCAGACTGGAGTTAAAACTCCACTCGCTCAGTACTCCCTACACAACAAACCTCTTATAAGCAGTAACTACACTTCATCAAGACCATAACTAAAAAAACTCCACTCGCTCAGTACTCCCTACATTACAAGGTTAGAAGCATTAAGTAGACTTTGTGCAGACTGGGGTTAGAACTCACCTCAATTAGTACTGCCTAAAAGTGACTGACATTACAGTAGTCACTTCACAACCAGAAATATACTTGTAACTTCACTTTGCATTAAAATTTCTAACACCAGACCAACTGATTATTTCCTCCAGAAAGAACATGTTTCAGCTTCCTGTCATCATCAGCTGTTCATTCTTTCTACCTTTTTGTGTTAAAATCATTTTTCAAACATTTACAGCCATGTAACTGTCATGACTCATGTCCATGATAATCACCGAACAATTCATATTCTTAAGGTAACCACCAATAATAAACCTTTGCTGATGCTAGTAAGTCATGTGACTTGTTATCCCACCGGACAAGCGAGGCCTGGTTTCCGCCTTGGCCCGACACCCTAAGCAGACAACGAGTCTGTGGCGCACTCAGAGGGAACAAGCTCTCTAACCTGTACCTACAGAAACCACTTACAGAACTGTGTTAACATCCCAACATTCTTGTAATGGTCAAGCTTTAAATGGTCAAGCCGAAAAGATGTAGACCACCCCTAATGGACCACAGAGGTAGCAACACTCATATTCGTTTTTCACAGATATGATTAATTACGGAGAGAAATGATATCTTCCACAAGGCTGTCTGTCTTTTATTGACAAGACAGAAAATGTACAATTAGATACAGTCATCCTTGTTAGGGTTTCTGCTATGGTCAACCTTGGTCAAAGTATCAATACAAGAGACTTGTAGTTGGAACTAACACTAGTAGCTTGGGTAGAGCAGAAATCTACAGGTAAGCTAAGGTCTGTAGTCAACCAAACCCCTAAATACCAACTAACAGATGGCTATTGGACTATAGATCAAGGACAGTTCAATACCTGGTAGTTGATTGTATCCCTATAGAACTAACAATTATTACATAGTAATGGTCAGATCACATAGAATAGAACAATCTTTGTACTAATGCCAGGTAAAAGACACAACCATGCATAAGTCTGGGTCGTTAATTGTACCTATTTGTCCATTAGACATGACAGGTGAGTTAGTCGTAGTGGACAGATGACTGAGGGCTGATGATAGGAAATACAGGTAGAGGGCCAGGCATTAGGCTGTGGTAATTAGAGGTAATGACAGGTGCTTGTGTACTTGCATGTTCCTGTAGATGTTACAGGTCCCACTAATGCCAGGTAAAGTCAGACCAGGTGAAAACAGATAATTGGTACAGGTATTCTACATTACATACAGTCGTTAATGTAGGCCAGCTACAACAATTAAACACCTATTCTAGTCTAATACCTTTTGCCTTATTTGTGAGAATTGTCCTGACCCCTGGCCTAGCCATTGTCCAGTGGGTATTTGTCCAGGTCATTACCTTGGTAAAGCATCCATTACATCAATAAAAGTTTGCAATCTCACCAATTACTTAATGCCATAAAGTGGTCTGGTTTTCGCACTTTGGTTGAGAGACAGGAAGTTACTACAGGGAGAAGACCATTCTAACTAAAAAGTGGCCCACACCCTAATTTACTGGACCTAGTAAAAGGATTTGTCGTAATGTTCCCGGTCCAACTCTACCATTAGCATGTATATATGTCGACATTGATTTCCCCCGTTCCCGAAGGTCCAGTCTGTAGGAACAGTGTACACTCAATAATGTATTCACCTTACTTAAAACGTCAGACCACCAAACTTTGGGCGTTCAGGCTTAGTAACAGGATGTTGTCCTGGGTAAAATACCTGCCTGATAACACAAATCTCATAGTTGCACATGTATTTGTCATACAAAGGGCCAAGGTTGACAAACTGGACCAAATCAAATCCTGTTACTTTCTTTCCTCTGACTCATCACCACGGTGACACCCACAGATCAGAACACCTGTGCAGAACCTGTATTCGTCCTTCACAACCCAGTAATTATGATCAGTTCCTTCGACTGCACACAAAGACCTTGACAGGTTGATCACCAAAACTCGCCTCCACAAATCAAACCACCACTGGTCAAACTTAACAATTTACCTCCAAAGCAATAGGATATAGAGCAAAGTAAATTCATTTATTTAACTCCATCTTATATCTAGTATAATCATGGATTTTATATTTTCCCTAAATAAACTTACATTCGTTTCTGCATGAAAAATATAATCTTGTTTATAAAATGTCTGTACTCGCGATCACTTTCACTCTGAATCAACTTCTTTTTAAGTAGACTGTTTGTTTTTTAAACCTTTTCAAAGTTCTAAAAACATTTCCATCTTAATCCTATACCATATAATTATACAATTTACAAGACATTTTAGTCAAGACAGGAACAACTTAAGAATCTTAACCCAGCAAACACTGTTGACTGCTCACAAAGAAGCCAGCCATTATGATTATAGGAGGGTACCAACCCTTTCTCAGATGATACGCCAACCTCTTATCTCTGCCAGACAAACATAAATTTGTATAAAACCCAAAAACACCAATACAACACTTGTTTTCTGTATTGTTGTGAAATGTGTTTTTCCTTGGTAGAGATTGCTGGAAGATTAACTCAAGCTGAAGGATGATGGGAAGGCAGTATCATGCCACAGAAGAAAAAAACATCACTCGAACTCTCAATTTAACTGGTGCATAAATGAATGTTCTTTGGGAAAACGGTTAAAACAACTTTTGAGGTGTTGCCATGTATAAAATGATTCTTACCTTGCCAAAACTACCAAAATAGTTTTTGACATCTTCCACTGTGGTAGCTGCAGACAGCCCTCCAACAAAGATTTTCTTAGTTCTGGTAACCATCTGGGGGAAAAAAAATGTTTGTTATACAACAGTTCTACATAAACATCATCAAATCTCAATTAAAACTTCGAACAGAGACATTCCTCCTCTTAAAGAGGAGGTGATACATACCTCCTTGGAAGATGGAGGCGATACATTTAAGGAGATGGAAAGGACGAAATAATGGTTATAAAGAGGTATAAATGTCAAAACATTCTGCGATAAATCTGCGATAAATAATGTTGGGTTTTTTTTCACTTCTGAGCATCACCAAGTGATTATTCAGACGTTATTGCTTACACCATAATTTCTCAAATGTTGGTTGGAACGTATGTTAATACAACAGAGCTGAGCGAGAAAAAAATAGCACTAGAATAACAGACACTTGAATAAAGTAAAAATTAGGTACAACAGAGAATTTTATGAAGCAATTCATAACTAAAAATAGAACATTTTTCACTAGAGTGAAAATATTGAGCTGTCCCACAATTTTTCCTTAAAATGCTTTTAAACATGAAGACACATCAGTTAATCTCTTTGTTAACCAATAGTACAGAACGTCACATTAACAATACATGTTTTATAGGCCCTTGGCAGTGTTTTACTGAGAAATGTGTTAGGTCCCATGGGACACAGGAAATTGTAACTAGGCCTTCTTGTAGTGCCCCTTGTTCACCAGCTTCCACACAATTCACCTAATTGTTGGGGACCTTTATCATAACTAAATCTACCACTGGAGATGATCACTTGTGTGACGGATGCCTACAGCTAGGACTGATTACATAACCTCCCACATCAGTCATTCTACCCACCTCCTTCCCTACACCGACTTTTTATCATATTTAAATAATTAATTTAACTCTCCTATCTTGGCCCTGTAGGGGATTGCTTAGGTATAAAATTAAGATTACTTCTGAAGTGTGCATTTCCTGTCAATCACATACAACATGTAAACATGCAGAAAACAGTAACAGAATTGTCTTAAAACAAATTTCTTATCCGAGATGGACAGCAGAATAAAATAAGCCACCATCTACTGTACAGATGTGAGGACACCTCGTGGCACAGCAGAAGGACGAAGAGACGAACGATCCATGTGTCTGTGTATTACAAACCTTTTCTATTTTCCCTTTTCAGACAAAGTCTAGTTTGAAGACAAGACACAATACAGGAGGAGTAAGGCGTGCTATCACAAATAGTGTGGTCCTTGTAGGGAAAGCCTGTCACCAGTGAATCTCCTGTACAATGTGTTAGCACCTAACCTGTACCTCAACTCCCTCCTTCCCGCTAGTAGACTCAACCCCCTACTGTCTTGAATGTAGCCAATATGTATCTAGGGGGTTAAATTGTATAAATTTCCATTCATAATACTAGCATCTTTTGATCATGCATATGAAAATATGACCAGTTGGCACATAAGACTTTGACAAGGCTAGAGATGCATAGGTATATACACAGACTGGTGTGAAACACACCTCGGCCTGACCGCAATCAATATACCAATAAGCCCTTATACCGTATTTGTCCACAAATAAGCCCCTGCTCACAAATAAGCACCTGCTCACAAACGAGCCCCTGCTCACAAATAAGCCCCCACTCACAAATAAGCCATGCCTACTTGGGTTGCAGGCCAGGAATAGGGTGGTATTTTTTCTTTTCTTTCGGTGTGATGAAGTCGAGTTTTGTGTCAAATAACCTCTATGCAGGCCTCCTCACTTAGCCCAGGAACACAAGATCTTGCCCTCCCGAATTTTGGCAAATTGTTTTTCACCAATAGAAGGGGCTAAATTGCTGTCAATACCGTAGATTGTCCAATTACCAGATAAAAGCAACCTATATACCAGGTAACATTGACTAAGGTGTTGAAAAGATATATAAATGTCACATTGGTGAACATATCTCTCTAAAGTATTCATTTATAGATAAAGATAATTATAGAAAATTATTTTCTAAGTCACCATGCCCAATGGATAGTTAAAATACCAAAATAATGTCTAATGTCAGTGCAGATGTGTTTTCTTAAAAATTGAAACAAAAAAGCCAATGACAACTTTATCCCACAAATAAACTTCAAAGCAAGTCATTAAATAAGTAGAGACGGGGTTTGTAAGAGGCCATTGTAATATAATTGTGTGGTCTGTCACAGGCCGGGGTCAGTTTACACTAGATCAGAGGACACAGGAGTCCCACAGCTGATCCTCGTCACTAGCTACACTAATAACCAAAATAGCTCAATTATCAACACCCTTAGTTGAACAGAATTGATCAGAAATAAACAAAATGTGAATCGGCATAATAGTGCAAGGTCTACTCATCAATTAAATTCAATTTACAGTACATAAATATCTCGCTGGTCTAACCTGCCTCACTTTGAACTGGTCATTTTGTTTGGTGTCTATGTAATATTGAAAGTTTGGTGTCTAAGAGAATTATCAGTCAATTAATTTGGTGTCTAGACACATCGGGTGACACACAAATATCAATATACATTTACAAGAATTGTCTGTTTTACAAATATACAAAATGCAACTGTAACACTGTGAAATCAGATATTTTTGTGGGGCCAAAATTAAGCCGTTTCCCGATTTCGTGGACCTATGAATTCGTGGATGAAGATTACCCACGAATTCAACGAAATTAAAACTCCACAAAAAATTGTGATTTCACAGTATACTTAACATTCAAGCATTGTCTACACTTTATCTGTAACCATTCTAAAAAAAATAACTTATTCACCCCTACATATTTTAATTGGACCTGCCAAGTCTTTGATTTGGTAAAGTTCAAAAAAGACTTTAGGGGTGAATAATTTTTTCAGGTTAATTATGGTAAACTGTGGACATAAAACCAAATTCAACACCAGACTTTGACCTGTCTAACAGCTTTGTAGTATTCTTGACTTTGTAAAAGATATAAAGACAAAGAGCAGTGAAAAAGTAGTGTTTTATCTTGAAAGTAAATATGTGCTTCAGCCTACTTGAACAGCAAAAGAAGGACAAAATGTGTGACGCTGGAATGAAATTCACCTCTCATACAATGGACTGGATATAGATTAGATATATTAACCACTATGACAGTAAATGTACAAATATTATTTGCAGTGACAATAGGTTTAGCAAATTAACCACTATAACAACTAATGTATACAAATTAACCATTATGACGAAGGGTGTATGTAAGTTGACAGCTATGGCAACGCGTGTATGCAAGTTAACCACTTGCAGTCTATGACGTTGAGTGTATGCAAGTTAACCACTATAAGTATATGACGTTGGGTGTATGCAAGTTAACCACTATAAGTCTGACATTGGGTGTGTGCAAGTTAACCACTATAAGTCTACGACGTTGAGTGTATGCAAGTTAACCACTATAAGTATATGACGTTGGGTGTATGCAAGTTAACCACTATAAGTCTGACATTGGGTGTGTGCAAGTTAACCACTGTAAGTCTACAACATTGGGTGTGTGCAAGTTAACCACTATGAGAATGAGTTTACAATTAACCACTATGACAATGAGTTTACAATTAACCGCTATGACAGACAGATATGTTTTGTACAGGTATAGAAACCATAACAAATGATTAACAGTACATAACCAATAACTAACTATAATTATACACGTCACCAATAACAAGCAGGACAAAGAAATTGGAGAGCTTTACTACATATGATTAAGATCTTACTAAGGCCATTAACTCGGTCTCATTACTTTAATTTTTCCAGTCACCTGGAAGCTCACAGGTGAAAACCCCTGTTAGTCTCGCCTTACTTACCTTTAACGAGTTTGTAGGCTCTGTATAATACTGTTATCTATTAAATCAAATCTTTTCCCTTTGCCTGTTTTAACACAGAAGTATAACACAACTAGTGGAACTTACATCAGTGTTAGTGTACATGTAGGGCCACACAGAAGTAAAACCCAACTCGGAAAAGGCAAATCTTAGTATCCATATAATGTAGAGCTATGTAGAGGCACAACTCAGCTCGGGAAAGTTAAACTTAGCTTTAGTGTTAGTGCCGGGCCACAAAGTGTACAACTCAACAAAAAAAGCTGATATTGAAGGAATGCGACATTTCTTTGACATATTTGGGCTACCTCATCGATATTTGTCTTCAATTTGATGTGGGTGACATCAATGCAAACATTTTATACTGTAAAACTTCATGATCGAATTCAAAAAGTCTCTTTCCTGAAAAAACTGACCTGAACTCGGCACCCCTCAGGAGAATGTCAATGTTATCTTTTTGGAGATAATCTAGACGCACACCTACAGCAAAGTACTCACTCTAAGGGGCTTTATTTGTTGGGTCTTCAGTTATCTTAATCTAACACTCGGAGTATCTTATCGATAAAACTTACTTTTATCAATTTTTTATCATCTCACTTGGACTGAACTCAATCTTGACACAACAGCCACATGTAATTGTGTTATCAGTTTAACTCTGTCAGGTGACATGCATCTGTATGCAGACCTGCCCCGAGGGTATAGGGTATACACCCTTACTTGGGCCTTGTTCCTTTGTCTACCATCACACAAATGCAAGTTGTCGCTCTCCGTGGCTGTTATCGCTAATTTGCATGTTTCACATTCATCAATATCGTATCACAAAATTACTTTAAGCTGGAGTTTAACACTACCGTTTGTGTTCTACGCCTATAAAAGCTGGGCCAGGTCGAGCTAACAAATGAGTTCAATTCCCTTCATGTACACTTTAGATTGGTTTTAACACAATATATCCATTGACAGACCACAAATGTGAACAAATATTGCTTATTTCAATACCCTTATACTAGCGGGCAGAGCACTCAACTCATGGAACAGCCAGGCTTAAATGGAAACAAACTGAACTATATAAACCAACTACACAATTCACAAGCTTGATTACCAATAAATATTTTTGAGAACTTTACTTGCATTTTATAATTTGATGACAACTTCTCTGTGAAGAAAGCCTTGTTTTTTCAAAAGATGCTGCAATAATTACCTAGATATAAATGCCACTATGATATACTGCATG